AATGAGAGCATCTATTCTTTCTCTACGGTACCCTTGCTGCATTGCTATGTTTCTTATATACTCTAATTCTTTGTAAGTGTCGCAGACACTTACAAAGATTAGAGTATATAAGAATGCTCCCCCTCAATGCTTGTTGAATGCATTGGAATACGGTCCTTGCTTTGCTCCTACACCGATAGTACGCCCGGAGGACATCATTCCGAATGTTGAATTGCTTGTAAAGAACATGAGTTTAACTATGCAGGATTACTGTAGATGGAAAGCGAGATTCCAAGCTGAAAATGAGAAACGAAACAACAAAAACGCGTTACGTTTCCAAACATGTATAAAAGAAACCAGAGACTGGCTCAGAAGGAATGATGTTGTACTCATAAAAGCGGATAAAACAAAGGGTATGGTGCTCATTAAGAGGGATTCATATAAAAGGAAATTACATGAATACATCATTACTACAGAATCGCTTATTGCACCGGATAATTTTTTAGAAGCTTTACATCAAAGGGTGAGGAGATTTACGCTAACCCCTTTGGCCTGTCTTCTGGATATGGAGAGAGCTGTTGTGCAGACCCCAAGAACCCCAAGAATTTTTGCGTTCGGAAAGACATAAGCCAGGAACACAGCTGCGCCCTGTGGTGGAGAAGTGTAATGCTCCTACGTTCAAGTTGGAGAAACAACTGGTTAAGTTTATACGGAGAAATATGCAAGACTCGCCTTTTTCGGTAAAAAATGCAGTGGAGTTGCTGAGAAAGTTAGAGGATGTCATGCTCATGGATAAAGAATGGATGACGGTATTAGATTACAAAGCTCTATACCCATCAATTAAATTACCTCCCTGCTTTTGCGCCCTGAGAAACTTTTTATTAGCAAAAATTAGCAATTCTATGAAATATCACATGCAGATCTTAGAATTGGCGGATTTAGTATGCCACACATCTTTCTTTCAATTTGAAGATAAAACTTACTTACAGACGCGGGGCGTACCGATGGGTAGCCCCATGTCAGCTATACTCTGCGAATTAGTGTTGCATAATCTCGAAAATCATATACTCCCCTCATTCCAGGAAGACATATTGGCTTACGCAAGGTATGTGGATGATATCTTTATTTTGTGGAAAGATAATCACAGAGTTAATCAGTTTTTAGATCAGATCAATGACAACCCGTATGGATTAACTCTAGAGCTGGAACAAGAAAATTGAAGCTTTGTTAATTTTTTAGATTTAACTATATCTTGCAAAGATGGTGAAATCGGAACAGATATATACCGGAAACCTACTTATCTTCCTATCGTCATTCCTAGGAACTCCGCAGACCCTGAGCATATAAAAATGGCCGTTTTCCGTTCATGGGTAAGGAGGGCACACACGCATTGCACCAGTGTCTGCGACACTTACAAAGAATTAGAGTATATAAGAAACATAGCGATGCAGCAAGGGTACCGTAGAGAAAGAATAGATGCTCTCATTGCGAATTGTCGGAAGCGCCACCCCTCTCAGGGAGGGAATCAACGTAAAGAAAGAATCGTACTCAATTACATACCGTTCCTCAAAGGATTCGTTAAGAAGGTTACCAAGGATAAGAATGTACAGATAGTTTACAATCGTAATCCCACCATATACAGGCTCCTAAGGAATGATAAAGGCAGTTACGAACGCAACGCGATGGCAGGAGTGTACTCTATACCATTAAAAGACCGTAGATTTAACACCAATCTCGTGTACATAGGAGCAACCTTAAGAAACTTAAAGAAAAGAATTGCTGAACATAAGCAATCAGTCAATAAAAACGTAGACTCTACGGTGCTGGCGGCCTTTGCCAAGCAGCAGAATATCGAAGTCTTTTGGGATCGGGCGTCGATCATTAAAGCCACAAAATCCAGGCAGGCTGTGAAACATCTGGAAAAACTAGAAATTCACAAGGCGCAAATGCGCACAAGCTGTATTAATCATAGGGATGCTGACGGATTGTCGTCGGCATGGAAATCCTTCTACGATGAGTGACGTAGTTTATGTAAGCGGGAAGATTATTTAAGATATTTTTATTGGATGCATATAATTTATTTTATTTTCTTTATTTTGTTTTAACTTGTATAATTCTTACAATTATTTAAGCTTGGTAAATGTTAACATATATTTATGTAACCGCTTTTTGAAATTTTCATTTTACGTAGTTTCGAATTTCTTCGTGTGATTCACAAAGTTAACTGATGATGATCGCTTAAAGCGTTCGAAAGCGTTTTTAAAGTATTAAACGATTTGCTGGATTGTTTAAAGGTGTTGATTTTATTTATTTAGTTTTAAGGGTTTGAAAACGTTAGTTTGGGTTCGTTTTTGGTTCGTTACGACGTAGTAGACGCACCGGTAACAGGTTAGAAAGAGTTATTATTATTCTCCGGTGTGGTGGTAAAGAAGTGTATGAAATTAAATACTTATTAGAACATTAATATTAGAAATTTATGGAGAAATATAGATCACTACTTGTCATTTGTTTTGGATATATGGTAAAACCTGTCCAAAATGGAACCTTAGTAAAACAGAAACCTGCCAAACAGGAAAAAATATTCAGTAATGTACAAGTCTGGTTTACACAGGTTTTACTGTATTATAGATCTTTCTTTGTAGGTTTTAGCGGATATATTTTATGTTGATGTATTGCAGTATATTGTTTATAAACATAGGTGATATTTGGAAAATATCTGTATAAGTATATATGAATGTTAAGTATTTTAGTTGTGATCAGCCACTTTTACTGTAATTTATAGTTGTGTGACCACTGATGACTTAAATGTCTATTAAATACAGCACTCATGTCACAGTTTCTTTGATGATTATTGGGTTGCAATTCATAAAAAATTGCAGACCTATAAATTCCCACTGTTGTCTGTATGTCTTTCCTTAATCTCAAGAATGGAGTTAGATACACGAAAGATGAGATCAGATATGGAAACCTTAGGGGCAGGAGGCCCAATTAACTATATACAAACTTCTGATGCAAACCAGAGGTCACATTATTTCGATTCAAAAATTTTCCCATGAAAGGAGTTACATGACCAGCATGACTCTATTGCTAATAGGAAAAGTATGATATACAGAGTCAAGACATTACTAATTTGAGGTGGAGAGCATATATATTAAATAAAATAAATATTAAAAAATGTGATTAAAAATTTCAGCCTGGCATTGTGATGATGTCACAATAAATAATTGTTTTTAAAATGGCAGAATCTATAGGTTATTTTATTTTATTTCAGTTTTCTTTTTGTTGTTCAAAAATATTTTACAATCATTCATCATACTGGTGTGAGAATTAAGAACCTAACCACAAAATTACCAATATACCAGCAAAATTCAATTTAAAAACGAATGTTTTCTACCGTCTTCACCGGTCATCCTCAGGTTCGATTCCAAGATTTCAAAAAAAAAATTCTATTTCGAATGTGGCTAGACTACATGGTTACCCTACGCGCCTAATTAAAACACTTATAGCACGCCACCAACAACCTAGGAGTACGGCACTTTGGAATAACCAGCCCTTCGTTCCTATTACTTACAACAAGATCCTTCATAGCACCTACAAACAAATTGCTCGGTATGCTGGTAAAAATATCGCTTACAGAAGATCGCAGACCATTTTCTCCTGTTTACGAAACGATAAGGACCGTCTTGATAGGAACTGTGTTCCGGGAATATATTCTATCCCTATTTACGATCATAGGGTGAATCGTCCTGGCGAATATATTGGTGCTACCGCACGCTGCCTTAAAACAAGGGTCAAGGAACACAAGTACTCAATTCAAAAACGCCTTTCCAATACAGCTTTGGCCGCTTTCGCGCTTGATGATGACGTCACGGTGGAATTTGATAATGCACGTTTAATACAACGGTGTGAACACCAGGCCAGCCTGAAATATCTAGAACAGCTGGAAATTTTTAAAGCGTTCAGAAAGGGAACAGCCATCAATTTCAAGGAAACAGACTCTTTGGCGACGGCGTGGAGGGCGTATTATGACGTATAATAGATGCGCACCATATATGTCTACACTATTATGACGTATAATGGATGCGCGCCATATATGTCTACACTATAATATAAAGCATCGGATTTTTGAAGCAGGAAACCATTTCCACGAATAGTTTTATTAAGGCCCTGCATCGGACATGCGCATAATTGCGATGTTCGATTTTTTTGAAATCTTGGAATCGAACCTGAGGATGAAGACGGTAGAAAACGTTTGTTTTTAAATTGAATTTTGCTGGTATATTGGTAATTTTGTGGTTAGGTTCTTAAAATATTTTACTTACAACAAAGCTTATTCTTGATAAGATTAGAGTATTAGTCTACCAAAAAAATTAATAAATTTTTCTCAAATTTATTATAAAATTTTTTAAAAACATTACTTATAATGCAGGTTGGAGCCTTTTCCTGAAAAATTGCATTGTAATTAGGGAACAGTGTTTATTTTCTGCGTTTACATTTTAAAACAGATTGACAGGTGGATAGTCAAGCAATTAAGGTGACAGCTTACTGCTCTGGGCCCAGGATCAAATTCAGACAGGTCAAGAAACCTCAGAAATTTTTCAGGGGTGATCTGTTCCGATATGTTGGACCCCATCTCATCCTCATCACCTGGTGCTCCATTTGGCCAGGCCATACAGCATTTCCTGGCCAAACTCATAATGGGCTTGCTAAAAAAAAAAGGCCCTATTAGTGCCCATAGGACAGAAAGAGTTTTAAAAAGAACTTAAAACAAATAAGTATTAAATGTAATTTAGAGAAATATTATTTTATCACAGATTTTTATTTGATAGGTTAGTAATATGTTAAAATCTAGTATAATTAACTGTTTCTTTCAGAAATTAAAAAAAAATAATCATCATAGTGGTTTTAAAAATATTTGGAGAATTAACGTTCTTTACTCTTGAATGAAACAATTTATTATGACTTTGTAATTTTATAATTGTTATTTTGTAAATTGTATTAACATAAAAATATTTACTTAGGATATTTTGATTGGGATGAATATATAAAGGAGACCAATTCCATTTCAGCACCTGCTTCGTGTTTTAAACAGGTGAGACATAGAGTTAATGTTTATTTAACATAACTTTGAGTTTAAACTTTTAAATCATCAGTCTTAATATATTTTACTTATAAAAAAATTATTTTTATTAAAAACAATTGTTTTCTTTTTATTTAATCTGATGCAGTGAAAATGTTTTAAAACTCTTTGGTTTTTCAGAATTTAATTGTCATTAGAGTTTAATTTGATATACTAAATGTTTTAAAATATTTTTCAGTTGTGTGAGGTTTGTTGACTAGGGGAAGGGAGAGACAGTTTGGCTCAAATCGAGATGAATGAAGGATAGGGTTCTGTGTGTGGATGATGGTGGACATACTGAGGCAAAGCATCATTACAGATGAATCCCATTTATTTGGAAATAAACTGGTAGTTTGCAATTTTGTACAAAGGATACTCCACTCAAACTATGATGTAAAAAATTCAGTTCACCTTCAACAAAGTCTCTGAATGTGGCAGCAGCATCTGGATAGTGTCATTACCAAGGTTTGGAAATGGGATGGGTAATGGTTATCATGAGGATAGGTGATGATGCCTATGGTTCAGTGAAGACAGATGTGACAGCACTTTGATGATGACAATGACAATATCAAGCACAAACACAGAAAAAGGAGTGCATAGGATCACCTCATGAACTTGGGAGAGGGAAATCTGCTGCTTGTCCTTGAAATTCAAGGGTTTTAAAAGATTTTATCTCCAAATTCCATGCTTCAGTTGGTCTTGATTTCCTCTCATTGCTTTTCATTTGGTCTCCTCCTCTGTTTCCAGGTGGCAATAAGATTGGATTAAGTCACAAGAAAGGTTGATTTTTGATATTTACTTGACATTGTATTTCGACTCTGACTGAAAAATGTTGATGAAACTTCGAAATCTGCACTCATAATTTAGATTATTATAGTTTCCATTCTGACATCTAGGAATTTTAACTACAACACAATGTTTTTCTTTCATTAAACTGTTCAGTGTTCCTGATTCAATTAAATTTTGTCACTTTAGTATGAATGTCAGAATCAAAGTTCAAACTGACATAGATGTAGATACTAGCACTTGGGAAATCAGTTACATTTGCATTGCTTTGTGTTAGATTTCCTTTTAATATTAAATTTTTTTCTTTGTGATTGCAACAGGAGGTTTGGACTCTGATTGGAACTTTATAATTGTACTAAAGTGAAATGTGAAAATTGTGAACAAAAATTTACATAAGCACAATTAGTCATATTTTAAGTTACAAATTAAAAGATGTATCATATTAAATACAAAAAATAATGTTGAAATTTATTGTCATAACACTTCATACAGAAATAAAAATATACAATAGAACCCAATTAACTGATGTCCTGCATTATCTCAGGCAAATCTTCAAGTGAATGCACTACTTTTCTTACAATTCATAAAAACTTTGCCATGTGAGTTCATAACTACTGTAGTACTTTTAATGTTGACTGTACCAAATGAGTGGCTGATGCCAAGATGATTTCAAAACATTTCAGCAAAGAAGGAAGGTATTATCATAAAACAAAAACTCTAAAGGACTTTTTAAAGAAAGTTTAAAATAGTAACATACATGAAATAATATACAAAATTATTTGTTTCTGTTACCTTTTATTATTTAACTTCAACATCAGACAAACTAGTCATATCAAAATGTAATTTATGATAATACACATTTTAATTTTTAAACTATTTTATTTATTATATAATAAATAGTATTTAAAAAATGTTGTTCTTACATATGATTAAATCCAGTAAAAAATAGAGGATTAAAAGTGATACAATATAAATCATTATATTAGTAATTTTTCTGAAATGGTCATGGCCATCTATTTTATTTGAGTTTTCAGCTATCCAAGCATTGGTTCATATTACCTGAAATAATCAGAGTTCTGTTGTATTTCAGTACTGAATACAGGTATACCTCAACTTACGTCGTTTCGAGTTACATCGTTTGTCAAAAAAGTATATGGAAAAATTAAAAGCAAGTTTAAGTCATTTTATTCCACTTTACATCTGTCCACCACAAATATTGAAGTCGTAATATCACTAGAAAAGCATTTAAAGCACATAAAATCATATTAAAATATATACATTTACAAGTATGTACTGTATTTACAGTACATGCATTCGTAAATTTAGATTACTTTTTTCTGTACTATATTAAAAACTAAAATTTATTTGTTTGTAAGCTTAAAATAGATCCTTATTAACCATATATTATTAAAAATGCATTAATAAATAAAATACAGAACCGGAAATGGTAATTTATTAAACCATAAATTACCATTCCCGGTTCTAGTAATAGCCTAGTGACAAGTAGATTCGGAGACAAGTAAATTCGACTTACGTCACTTTCCTGGAACCAATTACCGACATAAGGCGAGGTATACCTGTATATGTGCATACAAAGACTAAATACTTAGCAAACTGTTTTGAGGTTTACTAATAATCATAATTAAATAATAAATTGAGTAATAAATAATAAAATTCATAAATAAATAATATTTAATTAATAATAATGTCTTCTTAGTATCCCGTTCCTCAACCAAATGAATTTAAAATTGGAATGAAATTAGAAGCTTTGGATCCAAGGAATGTTACTTCAACATGTATTGCTACTGTAGTTGGTATACAAGGACCAAGACTGAGATTAAGGTTAGATGGAGGTGATAATAAAAATGATTTCTGGAGATTAGTGGACTCATCAGAAATTCATCCAATTGGATATTGTGAAAAAAATGGAGGAATGCTTCAACCACCTCTTGGTTTTAGAATGAATGCATCATCTTGGCCGATGTTTCTTTTAAAAACTTTAAACGGAGCTGAAATTGCACCAGCAAAAATATTTAAAAAGGTTTAAGACTGTTACTAAATATAAGCAATAACAATTTTATTTCTTCATATTTTATTAAGCATGAAATTTGTTATAATAGGAACCTCCAGCACCAAAAAGTAATGATTTTAAAGTTGGAATGAAGCTTGAAGCTTTAGATCGAAAAAATCCTCATTTAATATGTCCTGCAACTGTAGGTGCTATAAAAGATGAAATGATATTTGTAACTTTTGATGGATGGAGAGGAGCATTTGATTATTGGTGCCCTTTTAATTCTCGAGATATATTTCCTGTTGGATGGTGTAAAGCTAGTGGACATCCTTTGCAACCTCCAGGGAATAAAGGTAAAGGTAAATATGAATCATTTTTTATTTTTTAATATTGAATTCAAAAAATTTTTTTATTTCGTGTATTTTAGTTAAAAGCAACTATTTTACTCTTCTTTACAGGAAAAGAAAAACTTTCATGTAATTCTATCATGTTTAATTTTTTACTTATAATTTTATTTCTTTTAACCCTTTTGCAATCATTTGTAAATATATCATCAAGTAGTTTATTACTGAAACAAATCACTTGATGATTTATTGTCAATCTGAGAATTTAAGATTCTTATAAAATATTCCATTCATAGATGGCACTACATTACTGTAGGTTATTCTGTACAGTTATTTCACATATTTAATCCAAATGGCATTTTTATTTTTATTTTATTTTAAGTATTTATCAACACAAAAAAAACCTTTTTAATATCCCAGTATGAACAAATTTAAACAAAACGAACATTTTCGGTCATAAACTTGGTCTTCATCAGGCTAATGGCCAGTGTAAATTCGAAACTGGAGATCTAGTTTACATCGAATCCAAGAAGCGCTCTCTAAACTAAAAGTTACAAGAACACGACACATGATATCCCCAACCAGAGCCATACCACCATCCTAGCGGCCTATGCTACTGATCCTGAAATACAAGCCAACCTCCATAAGGCCAAATTGGTAAAAATGCCTGATCAAATTTAAACTTTTTCAAACATTTTGAAAATTCAAAAATGATCTTGTTACTGTAAGTAATAAATATAATAATTTATAATAGTTACAACTGAAAAATAGGTATTGAAACCAGTTGAAAATAAAATTAAAATTTATTTTTTCTAAAGGAGTTTAAAACTCTAGAAAAATTTGACATTAGATAAGTAAAAAATCAATGTAAAATTGAATCATTTAAAATCTGACAACTAAAACAAATACAATCTTTTACTATTAAATAATAGTTATGTATAAGGGGTTATCGCATATTAAAATTTGTTTATAAAGCTAATTTATTAAATAAATACTTATGACTATTCTGACCCACTAAAAATGCATATTAACTTGAAATACCTTGTTACAGGCCCTCATCAGTTAGGAACTTATTGGTCAAATACAACCATATTATATGACTCATACAATGATACAATTCACGTCTAAAAATATATGTACTATATAACATTAAAATAGCATAAACAAATAGCTAGCTGTTGACAGTCATTTATTTATGCTCTAGTGTGTATATTATAACTAATGACATAACGATATTTTACAATCACAATTATAAATATTATGTCACTAGTTATAATATAAGTATAATATATTACAATTAAAATGTTTTAACTTAAATAGAATATATGTTAAAAAATAAAGCACGAAATTCAATTTTCTGACTTTTTATCTAAATTTTTTGGAAATTTTTGAATGCCCTTCTTATTTATATAAAAAGCTGCAAATTTCACTAAATATATTATGTATCCAGTTAATAGAAAATTACAATAAATAAAAATTAGTGTTGTAACGAATAGTATATTTGTCCTGAGACCGAATAGCCGAATATTCGGCCAAACTATTCGGCTTGATTAACGCACGTACGAAAATTGGCGTGCAAACTGCATTATGGCAAGGATCCTGCTCTCTATTGGTCCGCTGTCACTACGCTTCGCCAATCGCGTTAATTCTTGGCAGTTGTAACGGACAGACAAGAGTGTCATGGAAGTATGTGATAAATGATGATATCAAATGTGGATAACAATGAAATGACCTACACGTGTAAATAACGGAAAAAGAACAGAGAAGGACCGCAAAGTGAAAATGTGAAAATAAATATGAAATTGAGTTGATAACATAATTGAATAAGTTGAGGCAGCTTATTGGCACAAAATTCGTGCCTGCCAATGCCAAACAATTGTTGTCATAGACTTCGGAAAGCTAAATGCTTGTAATGAAAGTCACTTAGCATGCACAGGCGAAAGCCTGGGGCCGTTCGGGCTATCAAGCTGTCTCGAATCTGTGAAATCATAACTGTGACTTATATCTACGTCCTATCTGTCTCTTTTCTCCGTTATCACCAGGCTGAGTCACGTAATTGTAAAATGGGAACTCTACGACGGAAAAGTGACGAATTGAAAGTATCGTGAGTGCTTATTGTGATGTATGCACAGGCATACATGATTAGAGCAATAGAGGAAAGAGAAAGGGAAGAGCAAAGACGAGCGCTTAAAAAGAAGGATAGGCAGGGTCAGACCCTCAGATGTGCGAGGATTCTCCAATGATAGACGTGTACGTGTGCTGATCTTTGTAATTATAAATTGTGAATACATGTGACTAATATTATGTGCTTTTTTATTTTGTGCATGTTACAAGTTATAAATAAATATAAACAAACAACACTAACTCTATAACATTAAATCTAAATACCAAAATGATTAATTTACTGAGTTTTTGTTATTTATTACTCCTGTTTTTAAGTATTCGGTATTCAGCCGAATAGTAAAAAATAGGCCGAATACCGAATAGTAACCGAATATTCGTTACATCATTAATAAAAATAAATTACCTAAAACAAGAATGAATGAATAAAATGTTTTTAAAATCCACTTCATTACAGAAAATAACAAAGAAATGCTAACCTAGGGAATATAGAATTTTGTTCATTTGATAATTAAATTTGATATCTGTTAATTTGAGTATTTTCTATTAATATTTACAATGCATTTTCTATTATTGATTTTCATCGACATTTTTACGGAAATTAAAACTGAAATGAACTGCTTAAACATTAATAATATTGAAGACAAAGTCTGCCCGAAAGGGACCACTATTTATTTTCTCTGTGTTCCAGACTATTCGTGTTATTACTTTTGGGCAGACTTTGTCTTCAACATTAGAGAGGTTGCAGTCGTCGTATTCGCCCCAAAACGTGAACGGCGGATGGTTGAGCGCCACCATCTGGCAATTCTAGACAGTTGAAAATGGCGTTCGCTACGTCTAGCATGGCGAGTAGATGATCAGTTTAAACTTCTTCATTTTTTTGTGTTTGGGGTTAAAATTATGACTTATTTCATTAAAATAATGATTATTTAAGCATTTGTGAATAATAATGTAAAGAAACAGACAATTTTAATCCAGAAATTATTTAATTATTCAATTTTTTAGCAAGTGATGTGTAGTGCCTATAGAATTTACATATATTTGTCTTCATAATAGTTTATCTTAAGATAGGTTTGTTCTTCCACAGCATCTTCTACTATCAACAGTGTAATATGTTTGTAAATTTTCTAAAAATTAATTTTCTGAGCTGCTTTCGAATTTACATAAGTCACTACTTTCCTTGACAAAAGTATGAGGTAGTCCGATTGTACGGTAGGAGACACCACGCTAATTAAAAATAATTATTTAGTGTTAATAAACATCCTATAAATAGTTTAAAATAGTTTAATTTGTTTATTTACATTCACTGGTAGCCCTCGATGTTAAATATATCTACCATTTTTTCAACAAATTTTCCATGAGTCAGTGCATGACGTTCAATGAGTCATATGATGTTGTGAATGTGCACCGCAACGATTTTTTCTTGGAGTTAAAATGTAAACCGTGTACTTCTGCTTGCCATGTATAAGTCATGTTTGAACGTGCACCGCAACCTCTCTATTATTAAATAATAATCCCCATCGTACAAAAATTTACAGATGCTTTAACATTGTTTATTTTGTAATGGAAATATGAATTATAAAATGATAAATGCAAAGCTTTTGAACAAACAAGTTAAAAACAAACTAGGAACATGACTTTTTCTTGGAAATAGCCAGAAACTGTCTTTCTCTACTCATTTGTTTTCAATTGAATTATGATCATAAATGTTCTATCATTATATCTAATATTAAAAATATAAAAGAAAAAATCTTGTATATTTTTATAAGAATTATGTATTACACTTAATTTAAAAAAGTATTTTTAAGAGTAATTTGAGTTTTAATAATGATTTAATAATTCATTTGCCATATTGAATCAGACTACTTTACCACTACTATTAATAATGAGACCATATGGCTTTGGGAAACGGATTTTCATGATATTTGGTCTAGAGGTAATATACCATGTGAGTGTACTACCTGTAAAATACTAAAGTGCAATACTCAAACATAATCGAGAAAAATGAACTTAAAGTTTTTTAGCACTTTATATATAAGTTACGTGTGCTTCCTCTTGAGCGTTCTGTGGCTGAGTGGTAACGATCCTGACTCCGTACGCTTGAGTGCTTGGGTTCGATTCTCTTGTGTATACTTTTTCCTTTTTTTTTATTCATAAATACTTATAATGTATTTATTTATTTACTCATTCATTTATTTATTATTTATTGATTTTTCTGGTATTTTTATTATTATTTATTTATTTATTTTAATTTAATTTAATTTTTACTTTTGATGACAATAGATGCATTCTTGACACCTATGTGTCAACTTTCCCATCTAATTGTTATCACCAATGGTGACCTCTGATCTAATTCTCACTAGGAGTGTTTTTTCTATTGGAGTTCTTTTTCACTCACTCTTTAACAGTTCGTTTCTGAATTTTGACACGAACAGACATACTTGTGCAATGAAATTTATTTCAAAAAATTATTTTATAATTAAAAAATATCATCAAGAGAAGCAAGTTCTTCACGTTCTGACGAAAAAACTGTTGATGATAACTCTTTATACAGTGATGTATCGAAGCAGTGGCTAAAAGATGGAGTAGAGGTCACCATTGGTGATAACAATTAGATGGGAAAGTTGACACATAGGTGTCAAGAATGCATCTATTGTCATCAAAAGTAAAAATTAAATTAAATTAAAATAAATAAATAAATAATAATAAAAATACCAGAAAAATCAATAAATAATAAATAAATGAATGAGTAAATAAATAAATACATTATAAGTATTTATGAATAAAAAAAAGGAAAATATACACAAGAGAATCGAACCCAAGCACTCAAGCGTACGAGTCAGGATCGTTACCATTCAGCCACAGAACGCTCAAGAGGAAGCACATGTAACTTATATATAAACTGCTAAAAAACTTTAAGTTCATTTTTCTTGATTATATTTGAGTATTGCACTTTAGTATTTTACAGGTAGTACACTCACATGGTATATTACCTCAACACCAAAGATCATGAAAATCTGTTTCCCCAAAGCCATAGGGTCTCCTTGTAATTAATTTGGTACTAGAGGTAGGTACCATTTCTTATTACTTAAAATTCAATTATTAATTATAAAGGTAAAGTAGTCTGATTCAATACAGCAATTGTTTAACTTACTGGTATTATTAAAACTATTGGGCTTTGATATGTTTATAGATGTATAATTTGAGTTTTAACTATAATTTTGAAATTGAAAATGCCTTCAATCCTGTTTTTAAATTAATTTTATACTATATAAATTATTGTAAATATACACAAAGCATGTGTCAAAAGTCCCTTGTACTCTTCGCATTCCAAAAGTGCTGAAGATGTATTAATTTTGTTCTCATGTATTGTGCGTACTGGATAAATAAATAAATACGATAAAAAACACACCTTTAACAATCCAGAAAATAAAATTTACTAAAATGAAAACGCTTTCAGTCATTTTTAACCTATCTTCCTCAGTTACCATGAAATAGAATGTGAAAATAGAACATTAAATTTAAATATAAATGATATTTGCAAAATTCCTCAACCGTAACACAAAATAAGAAAAAAAATGAATTTTTAAGAAATTTGCGGGATTTCCCGGGATAAGAAAAATTTCCCGGGTTAAAAAAACAACCAGGATCCCGGAATCCCGTTTGAGAAACCCTAGTGTCAGACAAGATGTGCTCTTCTTGACTGCATTGTGAGGGTATAGCTCCTTGGAAACCCTGGTGTGACGGTCTATGGGAGTTGAATATTTAATTTTTAATCATGGATTCCAAAAATACACAAAATCGAGACAAGCCAAAAGCCACCAATCAAAACATTTCCAGTCAGCCATGCTACTGGAGAAAAACCTCTGTCAAAATGCTCCCCCGTTTTGATTCAGAAGTTATTTGAATCAACCAAATTGGTTGATTCAAATAACTTCTGAATAATCCATTGGGCATTTGAAAAAAACACAGAAATTGAGGTCAGGGGACCTACTGGTAGAAACTGCCTCACTTCAACAGTTGGCAAAACTTTTAGCTGTGAAGACTCTTGGAGACATAGAAGTCACGGTTACCCCACATGGAAGTCTAAACTCATCACGCGGGGTGATATCAGAGATTGAGCTGATGTCTGACAATGAATCGGATATTCAGATCGGCCTTTCTGATCAAGGTGTAACTGCTGTCCGATGCATATCCATTTGTTGAGATGGCAAGTTAATTCCTACTAAACACTTAATTTTATTCAAGGATTTCTCCCACACCGGGTCATATACAACAAATATGTGTAGTCTTTAACCAAATATCCGGTGTAAAAATTGCAAACTAATATTGGCAAATGCTTTCGATGCCCCTCCTGGGCTCTTCTTCAGGCCAAATTTAATGTACTGGATTCTTAAATCGAATATTTTTAAATAAGAACATGCTCTGTTACTAGAAGTTCAAATCACGTGCCTTTCTTAATTATAATTTCTTTATAATTTATATTCGTGGAGATATGTTGTGCGCATCTTATAATAATCAAATAATCGACCCACGCCGGAAGAATATAATAATAAACTGTCTACAAACCTATAACCAGCGTGAAAAATGTTCAATTGCTTACGCTAATGTTTTTGGATCCCACTGGATCCTTCATCAGGCTATGTTCCATTTGTAACGATCCGTTAAAATGCCAGCTGTCTTTGGAACAAAATTTCAAATATCGTATTTCGGGTTCCATTCGGAATCACGTGCTTTCCAACTTGAAACTGCAGTTGCTATGTAACAATCTTCTGCTTGTATGTCGCATTATGTATTTTTTTTATGAATAAATTTGTTTGAGCATGTCGGAAGTTGGAGAAAATGCGTGTAGCTATTTTTAACTTATTATAAGTACCGATGTCGTTTCAATTTGAATCTCCCTTACGTATTAGGGCTTGCCACACCAAAGATAACGTGATTTCATCTTTGGAATTAATGGGGGTTGATAATTCGTATGCTTTGCATATTTCTATTTGTTCTAACCATCGGAGTTGGTCCACATATGACGTTGTGATAAGGAGTTTGGCTCTCGCGAAGTCCGCAGATATTTCCGGATCCGATGCATATACAGATAAAGCGGTGGTACATCTGTTGTGTATAATGTCCTTTTGGTGTTCCTTCCATCTTACTCCAACCGCTCTTTTCGTGGCTCCGATGCATACTAATTCTCTGTCGCATCTATGGTCAGTGAGTGGCACTGCATACACCCCAGGAAGTCTGTCTTGACTCGGCTTGTCTTTCTCATTGCGCAGAAGATGGAAAATAGAGGGGCATCTTCTGTATGCTATGCGCACTTCTTGTTGTCTCGCGATTCTACGATATACGGAAGCTAAGATCGGGTTGTATGTGACAGGTATGATGTGCTGTTCATGTTGCATGCTATCCCCATTAGTGGCAGCAAACGGCAATATTCCGGCTTTGTATTGTCTTGCCAATCTCTGTATTACGTTGTTGAAGCCATGTAGGCTGGCCACCTTTCTGAGATATCTCATTGCTTTATCCAATGACCTCTGTGTATAGCAGTACGTGTGTGCTCTTTTGATAAGTGCTCTAAATATTGCCAATTTGTATCCGATCAGGTCGCAAGAGTCCGCCGGTATATATGCCGGGAAGTCCGAGTCCTTGCGGTATATAGATGTGCTTATACCAGACCCTCCAATTTCAATGCTCACATCCAGAAAGTGGACCATGGAATCACTATGCTGTTCCAGCTTGATAGCTAGGCCATAAGGGTTTTCATCATATGTTTTCATTATCGTCACTAACGTTTTCATTATACTGTTAAGGGATGACCCTGACATCAACCTATTTGTGGATCAGGTAAACAACAACCCTTATGGCCTAGCTATAATTATATCATTTGATTTCAAGATATTTTGTATACCTTAAAAATAATTAATTCTATCCCGGGATTTCCTGGGATCCCGGGAAACAGTTCACTTTTATCCCGGGATCCCGGGACAAGCAAAAGACCGGGAAATGAGAAACTCTATCTGGCACGTCTGCCTGGTCTGCATCAATCAGTTGACTCCAAGCCAAGGTCAAGAATGACTCAACAACCGGCCGATTGACTCAAACAGAGCCTGATTTGAGCCTCCTGTTTATCCGAAGCAGGGACCAAAGCAGTGTGTTGGGGACGTTACGTTGCCCCTCAACTACCAGAATCCCCCTTTCTAGCATACGGGATACCATGAACGGCAAACACGTGGGTGGGCATTCAGATCCCAGGGATAGTAAAGAAGTGTTACTAACCATCTCTGGGAGGTCCCTTCACCATGAACAGGGACCCACATCGAGGGGCCTATATTGTTTGGCCGGCATAGCCATAGTATACTCATATATTGTGCGTACTGGATAAATAATGATACATGGACAATATAGTCATCTTATGGCAGAGAAAACCAAACCTACAGCAATTTTTAAAAGTAATCAATAATAACTTGTATGGATTATTCCTGCAATTAGACCGGGAGAGTGATTCTACTGTAAATTTTTTGGACATTACCATCACTTGCAAATATAGAAAAATTTGGACCAATACATACAGAAAACCATGTTTTCAACTCATTTTAATTCCACGTAACTCTGTCAATCCTCTTCACGTCAAATTAGCAGCATTTAGATCCTGGATAAGAAGGGATTATACACATTGTACAAGCATAAATGGCACAGTAACGGAGCTGAATTACATCTTAAGAATTGCAGAACAACAGGGATACCCAATGGAACTGATAAAGAAATTAATCACAACCTTTCAAGCAACAAAATGTCAGCATACCTCATTGGACCAAAAACAAAGGGTAGTTTTAAGTTATATCCCATTTTTAAGAGGAATACATAAGAAGGCAGCCAAGGCTAATAATCTCCAAGTGATATATCAATGCAACCCTACGGTTTTCAGAATTTTAAGGAACGATAATAAACAATATGACTGTAATTCGGCCACAGAAATCTACTCCATCCCATTAAAAGATCAACGTTTCGGATCTAATCTAGTCTATGTGGGTGCCACAATGAGCAACTTGTAACGACGACTCAAGGAGCATAGATATACAATTGATAAGAAGCTCGATAGCATCACACTATCAGCTTATGCACGACAACAGGACATTCATGTTCAGTGGGAGCAAGCATCAATTATCAAACCAACAATAAAAATCTCTAATATTTCAAATAAATATACACACAATGAAATATCTTGAAATATTAGAGATTTTTAAAGTGCACAGGAGAACTAGCTTACGTTCACCTTATTCGACCACATGTTCATACTTCGTACCTAAACACGTGTTTCGAGAAATGGAATGCCATAGGGACACAGACACATTGGCTACCGCATGGTGATCTTTTTATGAAGATTAATTTTATTAAGAGACATTTTTATTTTTATTAAGAAACATTTATTTGTTGTTTATTTTATTGTCTGCAACTACATTTTCATTTATTTGTTTATTTATTTCGAAATTTTCATTTATATTTAAATTTAATGTTCTATTTTCACATTCTATTTCATGGTAACTGAGGAAGATAGGTTAAAAATGACTGAAAGCGTTTTCATTTTAATAAATTTTATTTTCTGGATTGTTAAAGGTGTGTTTTTTATCGTATTTATTTATCCAGTACGTGCAATATATTAATTTTGTTAATATAGTTACTTAGTACGTCATGCAAAGAGAATTGGATGGGTGTAAAAAAGAAGGTCCCATCTGATTCTTCATGTACATTGTGCTATGTAACTATATTAACAAAATTAATATATCTGCAGTGCAGTGTAAGGGACTCTTTATTTGCTGTGTACATACATTAAAATCAAAGTAGATGTTAATTTAAAAAATTTGATTTTATATGATTTAGTTTGGACAACTGGAAAATATAAAGTAAAGGTCAATCCACCACCTCTTACACCTCCAGTACCACCACCACCTCCAGCTCGAGTTCCTTCTCCTCGTCTGAGTCAAAGTCCTAGCAGTAGTACTCGTGCTAAAACATCTAGTAATTCAAATCCAGAAAAGCCATCACAACAGACAAATGCCTCAAGTACAACCACTGTTGAAAGTGAAGAAATTGGAAATCCCGAAAATAAAATTAAACCTCCAAGATCTCCGAATGTTTTAATTACTGAACCGGATACTAGTTCCATTGCAAAACAAACTCCTACAGGTGACAATATATTATTATTTCTTATAAATAAATGAATTTTTTACATGCAATATAATTAATCCTTACATACATTATTAATTAGTTTCTTAACCTTTTTGATTTATGTAAAAATATGTTTAGTGTAAATTTTTACAATAATAAACTTAAGTGAAGTGTTCAGTGAATTGTTAAATAATGCTATGGAACTGAGATATTGTAAAAATTACAATTATCATAATTTAAAATTTACCAATAATTAACATACAGTTTTTAAAAGATCATATTTTTATTTTTGTATTACTGAGAACAATTTCATTTAATACTAACAGTATTAACAATTTAATATACAATGATATTTCGGTTTTTGTTGATAATCCGTCCGAAACTGACAAAAACCAAGGCAATTATTTCTGTATGAATCAATGTAAATTCAATTAATTCGTTCTAGACACTCCAAAATACATACCAAAAACACATTTTATAGAGAACAAGTAAAACGACAAAGCCGTATTTGGGATAAGACTATGTCTCGGAGACTCACTACTAAGTGGAATCACTTTGACACTCAAGCTGGTCTTATTCTCATTTTCCAATCTTCTTTGGCATTGCTGCTTTTCAGCGCGATCGTTCAAACTTCGCCGGCCATGACCACGAGGTCATCCACAATGCATTTTTGATGAAATTAATTTATCCAGGTATACCCTATTCAATGTTGAAATTTCTTGTTGATGTGTAATGAAAATTTCCCATTTTTGAAAAAAATAATTGTGGCTATTGTATCGTTCAAAATTATTTTTTTATTTTGCACAAACAATATACAGTTTAACCCAATTATAACATTATTGGATGTAACGACAACCCTAATATAAAGTCTTTAGTGGCGTGGCTAAAATCTGTACGTGACACATCCTACCTTGTCCATGATGTCCATGTTGACCTCGACCATGTGTTCTGTGTCTTCTGTTCTGTCGTTAAAAATTTACTGAGAAACTGATAATTTACTTAATTTGTATCGGCAACACGATATTTACAATAGTGTTGATACATAATATAAATCCAAGATCGCACGGCTGTCGACTCGAAAGGTCAATTAACGTGAAGTGAAAAGATGTCTCTCCTACCTTGTCCCTGATGTCCACGTTGATCTCGACCATGTGTTCTGTGTCTTTTGTTCTGTCGTTAAAAATTTACTAAAAAACTGATAATTTGCTTAATTTGTATCGGCAGAGTGATATTTACAACAGCATTGATATATAATATAAATCCAAGATCGCACGGCTGTCGAATTGAAAGGTAGTAAAAAGGTGTCTCTTTTCGTTAGGAGCAAAGTGAAATCAAAGGGCGAAGGTCATGCATAGGCACCCTCAGTCCTAAGGTCAGAGTTTACTTCTTAGAATGACTGCAGGTGGTACTCTCCCCTACCTGACTTCGGTGGGGTGAGGTGGCTGTCTTGCCTGTTTGTAGAAGAGAGTTGCCATTTACAATTTTATTTTGACTCGATTCTCAGTCCCCTGACCACTTACAAGTCTGGATTTTTTTATGCGCAAATGATTTGGGCACCTAATACTCTGTGCCAAATATCAACTCTCTACATGTACTCCTTCATACCTCTATGCTGATAAGAATGGGTGGCAGTACGATTTTATAAACAAGACATAGTCTTGTCAATTAATATAGTGTTAATACTAAAAACAGTAAGAAATTAATATAAAAGATTAATCTAAAAGATAGCAATGGAATTATTTGGCTAGGTGCACAGGATAATGTCTTGTCTAGTAGAAGCTAGTTGGACATGAGCTTCTAGCCTGTTACCAGCCCATCCTGGCAAAGCGTGAACCCACAACTGAATTTCCAGTGTTCAGTGAATGGAAACATTGACCAATGGTGGGCTGTTGCGGGCAAATGCTCAAACAATGAGAAATAACACCACACTGAGTCAGAAAACATATGGGTCATTCTTTGTTTTCGCAAAATTAGCAGCAAGGTCACATGGGCACACCGACAAAAACCAAGACAAATTTTCCGCAAAAAAAAATTGACGATAACTGAAGTCAGTGAAAACTGAGGTATTACTGTATAACTAAAAATTCATCAGTAATACAAGAGCAAAAATATTTGTTTTTTTTCTGTTTTTCAATTTATCCTTAATTATTGTATAATAAGATAAAATTTTTATATTTGTTTATATATCATTTAGAGAAATATATTTTTATCTTTTATGACAATTCATAATCAATGGTAATCAATAGAACAATTCCTTTATCTTTAACATTCAGAGAAATTGGAAATAATTTTGATTATGACTGACATTTTACATATGCATATGAAATGCAATTCATTCTTGTACATATATAGTGGGTGATCAGTTAACAAACATAATCTGTTCCAAGACTCTGTTTGCTATCTGAATTGTTCGTTAACTGATTATCGATTTACCTAGGTTTTTATGGGAATTTGATCAATTTGTTGTGAAAACTCCAAAAAATAAAAAATATATACCTTCTTATTACATTTATTTATATGTAATAATAAAAATACATATATGCACAGTCTTGCATTTTTATTAGTCATGTTTTTTCCATTTGTAGGGTTAAAGAATCTGTCTAATGTCGATTGCTTTTCTCTCTTCTTCGGGATTTTTCAGAAGTAATTAATAGCATTGTAATTGTAGAGATTCCCAAGTCTATTAACATCAATCTGGTTTGAATGCCATTCTAAGATCGTTGTTTTGACATCCTCCCACTTTTTCAGAAGAAAACATATCTCACCGAGTTTTTTGGTGTTCTTCATCCAATAGTTCTTTGAGTTCTTCTGTCGTCAGATCAGTTTCAGGTTCCATTATGAGCTCTTCAATGTTCTTTATTTCTCAGATGGGATTTTTGTTACTCCTCTAGCTGCTTGAGTATTCTTGATTATACTGTATCTTTCTTAGATAAGATTGAACTGCAGCCTACTGTAGATCTGTTCAAGCCATACTGTTGAGCAACATCAGACATTTTCTGCCCACTCTGTACCTTTGCTATTATACTTTCACCTTTCAAAAATAAAAACCAACACAAAACTTAATGAGTGCTCACCCAACAGTCTCACGAATACTATAAAAAAAATTGTTTTGTCAGAAAAATAATAGGCTGAAATTACAAGGGAGAGTTTCAAAGTTTGGAGGAATACTATCCAACCAGTATATACCGGGTTGAGCATCGATTTCGACATCTCCCACACTCTTAAAAGTTTCGAAGTGTTGCCTGAAGACAATGGAAGACCAATCGGTATTCATTATTTTGCGTCTCTTCTTCTTGTGGTTGTTCTGTGCGGTGTTCATTATCTGAACATAAAAATCTTTTGTGAAAGTATTTGTTAACTGATCGCCCACTGTATAAGATATATCAAGTAGTGCAAAAATTAACAAAAATATTAAATTACCAATATATTTATAAGACTTAATTTGAGTAAATTTTAAAGAAAACATAAAACCAACTATCTAATAGTGTTACTTAATAAATAAAATTCAAAAATTACAAAATAAGTGCAAGCACTTTTGATAAAATAACTTATTGTCATCAGACAATAGAACAGAATTTAGATTTATAATTAAACTAATGAATGCTTTAAATAAAAGATAGGGGTAGTAATATCTAAAATAAAAATATGCATCAGGGAAAGAAATGTCTACTTCAACATTTTAATCAATGAAATCCATTGCTCTAGCAGGCATAGAATAAGTTGGCTGCATGGATTGGAAGTTACAATATGTATTGTTTTCCATACATAAACTAAATTTAGGTTAGAACAGGGATGCACTAATTGAATATCTGCCTCCAACAGGTTCAAAAGTATTAACTAATACAGATTTAGCTAATTTTATCATAGATTTCGCAAGAAAATGTTCTTTTGATGTTCTGATATACAGATAGCGAGCATTCTAGATATTGTGTTGATATAGGAGATGAAACTAGACAAAGCTAAATTATGTAGGGAACTTCATAAACATCATATTTCTTCACCATAGATATCAGATCCCTATTATTAGTATTTAACCTATGTAGAGACAGTTAGGATTGGATGAGTAAAACATAAACATCCAAAACAACCAAGGTAATTTTAAAGAAATATTAACTATAAAAGGAATTGAATGTTAGTAGAGTTTAGCAGTGGCTTAGTGCTCTTAGTAGAAACTGAAAATAGAGAATATTATTAAGAAAATTGAATTTATTGATGGAATGCATAGCCTTAAACACTGTTAACCCTTTACTGCATAGCATTGCTTTCGGGCAATATTTAGAAAAATATTTATGATAAACAGGCAGTACACACCATTACTTCTTTTATCTGCCTGATGTGCTTTGAAGGCTTTGTTTTATTTTACCAAAAGTATTTGAAGAAATAATCACGTGTCTCTTATTTGTTAGGAAAGTCCAAAGTACAGGAGAGCATCGATTATCCGACTCAATTGGGGACTCAGGTTGGTCGGATAACTGAAAAAATCAGATAACCGAAAACAATGAAAAAAATACATTATTAGTATAGTATATTAGTATATCCCATGTAATTAGTATATTAGTATATCGCTATTTACTATTTACTATTACTATTCATTCATAATTAGAAAATTAAGTCTCGTTTAAATATAGCTACAACCAACAGACTGCCGAAAATCTATCGGGCTAGTTTTATGCTACTTATTAAATAAATTACGTAATCAATTTGGTACTAGAGGTAAGCGTTAGGCGCCATCTCTTATTAATATTAATAATTATAAATAATTTTAATTAATTTAAATAATTTGGAACCGCTGGGAGAAAAAATCGGCCCGAAGCGGGACTCGAACCCACAACTCCTGCTTACCGTGCAGATGCGTTGCCAGTTACGCTACCCGGA